TGAAGTGGACAAAATATCCCCAAATGGGCCCCAAAACATCAATGTGGGCTAGTAAAACTTGTAAATAGGGGGCATACATGACCTCTAAGGTTTTAAAAGTTATTTGCAACCCTGATACATAATAAATAAGGTTATCTCCTGTATTTCTCTGTTGCAGAAGTATATAGCATTTAATATACAAAAGTGAAGAGGCAATTATTTCCTACTTTTCCTTTCTTTAGTTTCTTCATAAGTTTAACATCATCTTGAAAATCCTCCTCCTCTTCCTCCTTTTCCTCGTCTTCAGCTTTCCTCTTTCTAGACATCTCTTTCTGCTCCCTTCTCTTTTTCTTGCGATCTTTCCTCTCCTTTTGTTTAGACCAGGCCTGGGATCTTGGAGGACGTCGGAATTTTGATGGCTTTGATTCTTCTGACTGAAGCTTTATCTGTCTTTGTTTCTCCCTGTTTTTGTCTCTATCAAAAAATTAAAAAATACTTCATTAGAATCAAATTGTGCTTATAGCTAAAGTAATCAGGTTTTAAACCTTTCAAGGTGTAATCAGTCAAGTGTCGCTTAACACCTAATAGGCTTTCATGGATCAGACAATACTTGATACATCGTTTGTTTTGTGCCTCTGCCCAGGTTTATCAGCAATAAAAAACGGGGAGGGGGGATTTTTTTTTGCCCCAAATTTTACAATGCAAATAATACAGTCTCTGCATTTGTAGACACCCTAATGAACGTATCTATTTTATACAAAAGTACATGTATTTATTTCATAAGATTTGTTGAGAAATGGTTTTGTGCTTTGAGTTTCCAATGCAATAAGCATTCTATTGTAATAAAGAGTGAACAGAATAATGACAATTCACTGTAGTGATAAATGTTTTTAAAAAGATGTTGAAAAAATATATAAAAGAAATTTCAAATGTACCAAAAAGTGAACAAAAATTGCTTAAGTGACTCTTGAATCATACTTGTAAGCAATGCTATTAAAATCCGCTTCCACTGGAATAAAGTTGCATACATCTTTCCCTTTCAACTCCGGCATCTTAGGAATGCGTAAAAGTCCATATCCAGTGGCCAGTTTACCAAAATCTAAGTCTTTGATTCTGAAAATCAAGCTACATTCATGTTTAGCATAGAATTGTATAAATGATACATATGCCCTGGCTCCCTTTTCCATCAGAGCTCGGTCTTTAAGGGCAAATTTCTGAATTTTAGGTAAGTAATTATTCACACTGTCACATGGCTCCATTCTTTGTAGAAGAACTTTCTGATTGATTTTCAAGAAATTAATATATGTATCCTCTGCAGGAAGAAGAAACACCAGAGCATTTCCTGTGTTTCCAATTCTGGCTGTCCGACCACATCTGTGAACAAAAAAGTTGGCAGATTTTGGGGGATTGTACTGTATGACCCAGTTCACTTCTGGAATATCAACTCCTCTTGCCATTACATCACTGCAAACCAGTATTCCACTTTCTAAATTTCTGAATTTGGCAAACACTTTGTTTCTCTTATTCTTCATTTTTCCATGGAGGCACAAAACCTGGATATAAAGCAGAGTTACTGGTGTAGATAAGACATAATTTGCAGTTACTTGTACTTAATGAAACCCATTACATATAGACTTTGTGAATTATTTGTTTTTTATCAAATAATTAAGGGGAAAAAATCATACCTGTGTGTTTTTTAACAAAATTTGTAACACTTTAGAGAAATAATCCACTCCTGCACATGTGCTGAAGAAAATCATTATTTTTTCATTCTTCCTTGCTTGAACAAAATTCATCATCTGATTGAATTTCTGATCACTTTCTACAGTCATATAAAAATTCTTTAACGTTGAGGGGGTTCTCTGTTCAATTTTGCCATCGGCTTTTTTCTTTTCCTTCACATTGATACGTACTGGGTTTCTTAGGCCTGCTCTGATAAGGTTTTCTAGCTCATCAGTTTGGGTTGCTGAAAATAAACCTGTCCTTCGTTGCTTGGGTAGATAACTTAATATTGTATTGATGCTGGCCTCGAATCCCAAATCCAGAAGCTGGTCTGCTTCATCCAAAACCAACACTTCCAAACACCTTACACTAGCAGCAAGATTCAATCCATACTGTGGTTTTTCCAACATGGCTTCAAACTTTCCTGGTGTGGCAATGATGATATTTCCTAGAATATAAAGATATTTGTACATTTAACATTTTTTTTAATGAACATTGTAAGCGTGAGAAAAAAAAGTAACACTGAGTCAGTTCATCTACAGCTTGAATATATCTTAACACACTAGCTGTTCTTATCAATGTACAAAATTCCAAGGAGCATGCAAGCATATGAATAGTTTCTTGTTAGAGGGGCTGATTTTTTTTTAAGAATTTCTTTCAGTAAGTTAACCATTGTAAATGCAATTCTATCTGAAGAATACAGTCATTTAGGGTATTCTGAATCACCTTTTACATTTTGACTGCAAACGATTTTATTAAGTTTATAAATGGTTGTTTCGTATTAAAAGAAAGCCAATTCCATGAAAATTTAGATCTACTGTATAGGGTGAGTCTATCTTTGGTACAGCGACCTTGACGTGGGTTATATTTACATCACCTTTTTAGTGTATTGCAGGTCACTTCTGGGTATTTCAAATCACTGGATAAATGGGCTAAAAACGGACAGATAACAACAAAATAATTCATAAATTAGTCGATATTGTTTACCAAAAGGCTTCAAAAATAAAAAAAATTATTTTCTTGTCGATTGTTCTTGTTTATTTTAAACTTATTAAAACCCCCCTCTGTAGTCGCAGTATAAAACAGCGTTCTCAGAAGTGGATCATGCAGAAAAGCAATTACCAACGAAATAATGGTTCCAAAAAATATTTGACTGTAAATTGTTGTCTTGTAAATAAAATTTTGTCATTTTATTCCCCTCTGAATTTTTTTCAATGCAAAACAATTAACATTGAAAATGTAATATATACCTAATCATAATTCTACGAGTAGGCTACCCTAAAAAAAATGACAATGATTATGAAAAAAAAAATGTATGAAAAGAAATTAAACCAACTCAAATTTAGATATCACGATTATCAAGAATGACATATTTCACTGCATAACTTATACGCATATGCATACTTATACATCAGTATATGTGTACATATGCATGTCCATATTTGTATGACAAAAGGATCAATACTGATCAAGGGTATACCTGGGATAGTTTTATTACTTCTTGCTATGTCAAATAATTACTTTCATACCCCTTGCATTTTAGAAAAAACAATGATATAAAAATATCTGACATATAACAAGTGTGTAGCATGTGCAATTTATTCCGCTGCAGTCATATACACACATGGTTCGAAATACCCCAAACTGTAGGGGGCTACAAAGGCGGCCATAACTAATATATTTCTGAGGTGTTATCAAAAACAATTAATGCTCATGAAATCTTATACAGTGTTTTTTTTCCCCCTTATATATCTGGTACCAATAAACGGTACCGTTCCCAATGCCAAAACATGTTAATTTTCCCCAATTTTGAGACTTAAAAACTCCCAATTCAACTGCCAAGCAACAGATTACGATGACATCGTATTTCTTTTCATATGAAACATTGTACAAATTGACTAATTGTTTCACTTCCCCTTAAATCGAAAGTTGAGATCAGTTGTAATGGATGGCGGGACCTGTGGTGTAAGCAGCGTAGTGTCATACATTTTGATAAATTGAGAGCTTGAAAATGCGAAAACAAGGGACATTGATATGAAAAATAATAAATAATTGTTGTTTATTCTTTAAAACATGGAGTAATAGGTAATGAGAACGGAATAAACGCAAAATGCGTTTCATTTGTTTAAATGATAGAAAATTCTCCTTACTCCTTTGTTCTACTTTGATGCCAAATTTTCCCAATTGAACCGGTACCGGACCCTTTCCCAAAGGGTGAAAAAAATCGCTGTTATAAAATTGTCTTTCTATCAATAAAAATTGTCTTTCATCCACCACCAACGTTACGATAATGATGAGAAATACCATGCAACGTTTCTACATGGGCATTTTCTTCGAAAAGGATAGCAAGTTAATGAATTAAATTATTAATTTTTTAATTAACACATTATGTTTACCTCTTTAGTTTTTGTAAGTAGTGAGTATGCACCATGCTGTTAATGACTTGTTGGTTGTCACATGTGTACATGTATTGTGCGAAGTACAGCAATAAGGTAAATTACCGAGAGTCGCGAAATGCGGGGTGATTCAGAATACCCTAAATGACTGTAAGGGAAATAGAAAGCACATATCTTAATGTGTATCATACACCGCTTTAATTCTTCACCATCCGTACTCACCACCATTAGCCTTAAACTTCTCTGCATCTTTGATGGGGTTTTCACCTCCTATGAGAAGCAACGAAGTCAGATCAGATATATGCTTCAGGAAGTGTGATAAAACTTCATTGATCTGTATAGCAAGTTCTCTTGTAGGGGTAATAATGATGGCCCCTACTTCCTTTTTGGACCAGTTGCCTCGTTTCTTCAGAATCTCTAGGATTGGCACTATGAAAGCTAAAGTTTTACCACTCCCTGTTACTGCCTCGGCTGCCACATCCTTGTTGCTTAAAAATAATGGAATACATGCTGCTTGTACAGGTGTTGGATTTATAAATCCTCCATCTCGGAGGGATTGGTGGATAAAATCACTCAAAGATACAGGTAAATCATTCCACGTGCTCTCTGTCATTTTTGATGCATTTCAAGCAGGATATAGTCAAAGCCCGCTAATTACGGAACCCAAAAAAAACCGGAAAATAACGAAATCAACAATGACGATTTTTTTGCATATACTTATGATGGGATAAAATATTATCTTTTTGAAAATGACTTTCACATATTTTCAAGGAATTTTGAATGAATATATATTCAGCTATTTTTAAATTTCTTGATCTTTCCGGAAATGTAGGGGGGTTTCCAACTTTTAGGTATTTTAATGCTATTTTTACCTCCTTGAACAGAAGATTTCCGCGTTATTGTTCGAAGATGTGTTTTAAGTTTACAAAATTGCTCTACCATTGTTGATATTCCAAAACTATTTTAATGTAATTCTTGATTTTTTTTTCTGTTTCTATAGTGTTAGTATAAGAGCATTTATCGATCTTTGCATTTATCTTTTGTTTTCAAACAGCGATAATCACATGTACCTTGTCAGTTTGTAGCTGCTCTTAAACCAGTTATACAACTTTTACTTGTTTTTTGTAGCCTTTTGATTTTATCATTTAAAGATCTTAACATTGTGTTGCAACATCATGGCCGACAAGATGGAAACAACTCCAAATCCATCAGTCAATGCAGAAATGCCACCACCTCAGTCTAAGGAGGTTATAAGAAATGACAAAGGTATTCTTAAAGCTTTAATATTGATTAACTTATTCATGAACTAAAATGACATGTTATACAAGATTCACAATGACATCTTAATTGCTTATTGTAAAAGTGGTAAAAAACTGACTTCAACATGCACAAGTTGAGAGATGATAAAAAAAAATTTCTCTTTAATCACTGTTAATGTCTTACTAAGTCTGGCTAGAAATGATATTGATGTCATTTTTGAGTCTCGTATATGAACATGAATGAAAATAATGTAAGGAGTTTCGTGATTTTCATGTAAAGTGAGTATATGTTTTCAATTAAAATCTAGTGAGAAAACTGAACTAGTCAATGAAAATAGTTTTACCCCCATGACCTGTAAAGAATCTAACTTGACATCATTGAAAGAAAGTGTTTGATGTTGCAACTACTAGGGGCAGGCACAGTTGTATTTAATGCTGAATACTATAAAAGTGCTTATATACATATAGAATTAAAGGTCTGATATTCTTAAATTAGGGCTGTCATGAGTACCCAAAATAACCGAGAACCGCGGTACAAGTTGTTCGGTTCGGTTCCGGTTCCATTTTTCCGGATTTCAGTTCGATCTGGTTTATATATTAGAGTCTGTTCAATACAAAAAATGGTGTAGAAATCAAAGGAATGATGACGATAACAGTGATAAAAAAACATCACAACTGAAATCTACTTCATTCCATGACAAAACACTTGTCACGGAAGTATTAGATAATTATCAAAACGAGCAGGAATGGTCAGGTTGTGGCTAATAGTAGGCCAAGTCACCGATGTCTAGACGTTCGCATGGTTAAGACTTGTTTTCAATGTAAATTTAATGTAACAAATAAAAATTTTTCAAGTTAAATTCATGAAATTAAGGTTTAAAATAGATGTAAATACCCGACTCGAAAAACCTGAAACCGAATCGAAAATTTACAGAACCGACCCGACCCGAAAAATTTTGGAACCGTGACAGCACTATCTTACCTGTTAGTCTATAGATTATAAGTTGAAGAAAAAATTCATAGAAGTAAATATCTTACTTTTTCAGCTGTTGTGGAGATTCTGGATTCTGACTCTGAAAGTGATGATCCTGTGTATAAATTTAGATTTGACATTGAGGATCTGATAGCATCCACACTGAATGAGTTTGGGGACCCAGAGAGAAATGAAGATTCACCAAAAATGACACAAACTCTAAATGATCTTAGTGGACAGATAAGAGGGATTGAAAGTAAGTTTTTTTTTTTTAAATTAATTCTCAGATTTTATCACTGAAACAGAAGTATTAGTTTTCTGTATTAATACAGCAAATAAGATTAAATTGTGAATTGCATTTACTTTAAGATAAGAGACATGTAAGTGGCAAGTTAAAATGTTAAATTCTTATTTGAAGGAAAACAGAAAGAAATTGAAAAGATTTTTAGTAATTGTGAAGAAAGGTTGAGAATTTATCAGCAAGAGCTGGAGGAAGCAGATAAAGAAGAAATGTAAGATTTTAAACCTTTGTACACATATACACATACAGAGAGAGACACCAGTAACACATGAATAACATTTTATAAGCTCTACAGAGTATGACAGACTCATTGTGATCACTTTGTCTTCAGTCAATCCATCTGGAACAGACAAAAAAAGGTTTTCTTCAACCAAGATATGTTTAATTTTATGGGCAGCTTAGGGACCTCAAGAGTTTTATTTATCAAATACATGTAATGATAAAAATGTAATGGTATATGACCATGTGAGTAAAAAAATAAAAGAAAAAACTATGAATGCAGCATGAAAATTTTAAACTAGCAATATTTCATATTTAATGCATTGGTAATTTTCTTGCTCCTCAGAAGTGATGAAGAATCAAGCATGAGGTAATAAGACATCCACTCTTTATTACCCATTAAGAATGCAAGCTAACTTTTTTATTTCAATTAACATGTATATACACTCTATTTTGGAATCGAAGGAATTTTATGGTTCATTGTCTGTGTGTGATAATGATACCAGATGAACTAGAGAATTTGGTTGCTACATAATGGGATGAAGGAGATCTCTAATTCAAGCCACATACGTCAGTGAATTGATCAGTGAAAAGTAAAAGAACATCACTAAGTTGAATGCGAAAATAAATTTTCTAACAACAATAATGGTGGTTTGGGAAGACAGTATAATGTTTATGAGTTATTTACTCTTCTGAGTGCTATACTGTCTGACCACTATCAACTTGTTTTAAGGGTTATTCTACACATACATGTATATTGACATTATTTTTGCTCTCTCTTTCTCTTTTTTTTATTTTACTTGGCATGGGTTTGTCGGCATGTTTTTGAGCCCAGAAGATAGATTTTAACTAATTTAAAATATATTCATGCAAAATAAATGACACATACAATCTATAAGAAATTAAGATATCTGTTTATATTTTACCATCACAAATTAACAGAAAAGCTGCTATTATTTAGTAAAAATGAAGTAAAAGCCTTGTTTTGGGGGTTTGCAGGTTGAAAGAAGTAGCAGCTGAAATGGAGGCAAAAGAAGCAGCAGAAGCCAATGCCAAGAATGAAGAAACCGACTCGGATGATGATGTCCAAATCATTGCTTCATCTTTTGATCCTGAAGTTTCAGCAAAAAATCAAAGGTACATGTACTTCTACATAGATACATGTAAAGTTGAATTTTGGTATCTTGAACATTGATATTTGGAATAACATGGATATTTCAAAGTAAGAAGGAAGTCCTAACTACCTTTCCTTTATGTATTTTAACTTTGATATCTTGAATCCTTAGATATCTCCCATTTTTTTCCAGTCCCATAGACTTCAAGGTATCAAGGTTTTACTGTATATGGAAGCAGACATAGAATCTGATCTCTTAATTTATTTTTGTATTTTTGATTGTAAATGCTGTTGTTTTCATAGACTCCAGGTTTTGAAGATTCCACCCCAGCAGAAAAGTTCCTCACCATCCTTGGCTAATCTGAGACAGGCTTTGACAGGAGCTATAAATGATTCAATCAATCAACAACAACAGAGCACCACACAACAGGTAACGCCCAGATATGCCTGAGAGGGTGAATTTAGAGGAGGACACTGTAATATTATTTTAGGCACCACACAACAGGTAGCACCCTGATAATAAGCCCAAGAGGCCTGAAGAGGGTTAACTTAGAGGAGGCCCCTCTAATTTTATTTCTAGGGCACAGGTAACACCCAGATAAGCCCAAAGGGATTAAATTAACACAGACTGATCTTTAATTGTATTTCTAGGGCAGCACTAAGCAGGTAGCATCCAGTAATGCCTGAAGGTTTAATTAGACCATCCACTCCATGATTTTATTTCCAGTGCTAGTTGATTTTTCTCAAAGTACAGTTACATTTCATAGATATGTTAGAAATCAATAGTGAGGAGAAAATTCAGTAATACTTCAAAGAAGACTTTCAATCACTTTAATTTTTGCAAACTCTGTTTTAAGCAATTTCATTTTTTCTTTTCAGCCTTCATCAAATAAGAGCACCACAGTACTGTCCAGTGCTCAAACTAAGATGGCATATCTTCAAATGGCAATGTAAGTGCGCCTGGCTTGTGGGGCTCATGAGTTGTATACATTATATAAAACAAAATGTCTAGCATGGATAACTACATAAAATCTCTTATTTGATAAAATTTGTGCTTCCTAAATCCTTTTTTTTTTAAATCTCTTGAAATTGCATTATTTATTTTATGACAGGAACATTAAAGAGGGAAGCAAGGTGCTTGGCAAAAAATACAATGATATTTGGTACAAGGGTACTGTAGTGGATGTGACAGTGGCAAAGGATTTAGCTTATGTAAGTACATGTTTTACTCAATCATTAACTTGTGTGTTTTTCTTCTTCCTCTTTTTTAAGGTTTACTTATTTTACTGCCACCAGTATTTTTATGATAAACTAAAACAGTAAATATAAAAGTAGTGAAATTAATTTGAAAAATTAATTATTATGAAATAATAGTAAACTGTTTATTCATGTAAGATCAAATTTTTTTATAGAAAATGCGAAAATAACCATGAACAAAATCAGAACTGCATGCAGTAATTTTTAAATGATAAACATTGTGTTTGTAGAATTTTTATACAGTGAAGTTCGATGGCAAGGGAAGAAAGTCCCTGCCAGCTCTGAATATTGCCTTCAAGGATTCACTGAGTAAGCCGGTGTCCGTCGGAACCAGGGTGGTTGGTAAGAGCTGTAGTTTTGTCCACAGTGATAAAAATAACGCAAGAATCACCATTTTGTGATCTTTATTCAAATGTTCAAATTATTCAAAACAATTCTATCCACAGCTCTGTACAAAGATGAAGAGTCTTTAGCTTCATTTTATGCTGGCATTGTGGCTGAGACCCCAAACCAAAGAAATGCTTACAGGTGGGACAAGATAGCTGATTAAAATAATTTAAAAAATTGTAATCCAACTACTATACTTACATGATTAAGGTCTGATTTTTCAGGTATTTAATTTTCTTTGATGATGGATATGCCCAGTATTCCAGGTCTGAGGATATTCATAAAGTATTGGCTCAGAGTAAGTGAATATTTCTCAAGCAAAGTTAGTTGTCTGAAGAAAGAAATTGCTGTTAGTGGTGAAAGAATTTTTCTGATTAAAGCAGTGTATTACAAAATTTTCTTAATATCAATGAAATTCTTGAAGTACACGCACATTTTTCTCTGTATCCAGGTGCAAATGTTTGGGAGGATATTCATCAAGATTCTCAGGAATTCATCAAAGATTATCTTAAACAGTACCCAGAGGTGGGTGTAAGACAGGGCACTTCACATATAAAATTACCTGTTAATACTTACTTAAGTCCTCTCAGTGCTTTGTACACATAAGACCTGTAAATGTTCACATGTAAATGATTGTCATTTTCACAAATGTTTTTTTCTAGAGACCCATGGTCCGACTGAACAAGGGTCAAACAGTGAGGACAGAATGGAATGGAAAATGGTAAAATTTCTTAATTCTAAATTGACAGAAACATACATTATGTGTACTTACAGTCAAACCTCGTTATCTCAAACTCGATGGGTCCGAGTAAAGACTTTGAGATATCCGAGGGTTCAGGATATTGAGGGTGAAATACTTAAAGAAAAAGGGCTTGGGGCTTTCAAATCACTTCGGCATATGGTATTCAAGATATATATTTGAGAAATTGAAGTTCAGCTGTAGTGTGAATAGGATTTTAAACGTAACATGTTTGATTGGGATATTTCTTTGGCAGGTGGACTGCAAAAGTTGAGGAGGTTGATTCAAGTCTGGCCAAGATGTATTTTCTGGCAGATAAAAGGATTGAATGGATATACAGGGGATCCACTCGCCTGGAACCTCTTTTCACTGCTCTGGTAAAAAATATTCAAACTGTAACTTTATGAAGAGAAGAGAAAAAAAATAGTAAATATATTTATAGGAAAAAGATTTCTTGAAATTTTTCATGTTTTTTAAATAATTTTTTCAGTCCAATGCAAACAAGGCCACTGGTAAAATGAGACGAACAAATATGCCTTCTAATAAGAAACATGTAGTAGAGTATACACGAGGAAATTCGGAAGAGGGAAACTCCCAGGGACCATCTCAAGGTACTTCAGCAAATGAGTATTTCAATTACTATCTATTTACTGTTAAGAAGTACAGATATTTTCCAGAATGGTTAATTGTTTAAACAATAGAATTCTTTAAATGTTTTAAATGCATATATGGTACCTCTTAGAGATTTGCTTTCTGCCCAAGACTTAGTCTATTTTTTAATGCATTGCCACTCAAAGTACTGTGTGTGTAAATTTTTGTGAACAAAATTTGGACTTCATGCTGTAAAGAAACCTTGAAATAAAATCAATTTCCTATTTTGAAAACCATATGAAGGGGCCACATAGCAAAAAGCACAAGGAGTGGGTGGGTTTCCAGCATATTCAATACTTGAAACTTTGTGGTAAAATTTCAGTATTAAAGATAGCAAAGACACAGAGCAGTCCATCACCAACTCCTCTACCTGTGACAAAGACCCCCACCTCCAGTCCTCTAGCCCCAGGAAAAAAGCGGTCAGTGGCCAGGAAAAGCACCACAGGATCCAGCCAATCAAATCAGTCCATTCAGTCAAAGCAGCCGTCCAGTGTCCCCAGTCAGGAGACAGGGGGTGAAACTCAGAACACGAAGTGGGAGGGGCCGTGGCTGAAGTTAAATAAACGTCACTCAGCTAGTTCCTCAAGCGGAGGAGAAAAAAAGTCTAGAGGTAAAGAGAATGTATCTTAATAAACACCACTCATCTAGTTCCTCAAATGGAGGAGAGAAAAAAGTCTAGAGGTAAAGAAAATGTATCTTAATAAACGCCACTCATCTAGTTCCTCAAGTGGAGGAGAAAAAAAGTCTAGAGGTAAAGAGAATGTATCTTAATATACGTCACTCATCTAGTTCCTCAAGCTGAGGAGGAAAAAAAGTCTAGAGGTAAAGAGAATGTATCTTAATATACGTCACTCATCTAGTTCCTCAAGCTGAGGAGGAAAAAAAGTCTAGTGGTAAAGAAAATGTATCTTAATAAACGTCACTCATCTAGTTCCTCAAGCTGAGGAGGAAAAAAAGTCTAGAGGTAAAGAGAATGTATCTTTATAAATGCCACTCATCTAGTTCCTCAAATGGAGGAGAGAAAAAAGTCTAGAGGTAAAGAGAATGTATCTTAATAAACGCCACTCATCTAGTACCTCAAGCGGAGGAGGAAAAAAGTCTAGAGGTAAAGAGAATGTATCTTTATAAATGCCACTCATCTAGTTCCTCAAATGGAGGAGAGAAAAAAGTCTAGAGGTAAAGAGAATGTATCTTAATAAACGCCACTTATCTAGTTCCTCAAGCTGAGGAGGAAAAAAAGTCTAGAGGTAAAGAGAATGTATCTTAATAAACGTCACTTATCTAGTTCCTCAAATGGAGGAGAAAAAAAGTCTAGAGGTAAAGAGAATGTATCTTAATATACGCCACTCATCTAGTTCCTCAAGCTGAGGAGGAAAAAAAGTCTAGAGGTAAAGAAAATGTATCTTAATAAACGCCACTCATCTAGTTCCTCAAATGGAGGAGAAAAAAAGTCTAGAGGTAAAGAGAATGTATCTTAATATACGCCACTCATCTAGTACCTCAAGTGGAGGAGAAGAAAAGTCTAGAGGTAAAGAGAATAATCTTAATCAACTTACCATTTACAACAGTAAATCTTAATGAAAAGGTAATGCAGTCAAATCTCATTATCTCAAACTTGATGGGGCCAAGAAACAAATTTGAGCTAGAGATTCAAGATATGTAGGTTAAAATACGTAAAGAAAAAGTGGTTGGGATATCAAACTCACTTTGACATATCCATGTTATTCGAGATATTGATGTTTGAGATGCTAAAGTTTTACTGTTATACAATTTAACTGTTTATATGTAATTGTATCAAAATATTATATATGTTATCATGCATGTACTATCCTGTTTTAGCATACAACATATACATGTAAAAACAAATGAGTATTTTTATATGTCTACATGTATCTATTTATCTACCTTGAGATATCTAATTATCTATATATTTAAACCATTATTGGGTTATATTTAATTAGAGATGTACTCTGCAAGCAGTATTAGCAGTAACAAGACAGGTACAGATATGGCCAGTGTTCTACAAGAAAGGTTGTCAAAGGTGACCAAAGATGAAATTCCAGGTACATATCGGCTCTAGGAAGCTCTGAGTAGAATTTCTGAATGTCTTAGAATTGCAATTAGTTCTGTAGAGATTTTTTATTTTTTATTATTTACTCTTGTAGCTGTTTTGTATTGTAACACATTTGTGTTACTAAAATAATAATACATCCCCACTGTGTTTGACATTCCTATTTACATTTGTACAGCCTAGATTAAATAATCTTTTGTTTTGCATGAATATATGTAGGTATATGTACTGGGTTTTTTTTCCATGAGGTTCATATAGATTGAAGCTTGAAATAGTGCTAAAAGATGAAATAGAACATGATTTGATAGAAAATTTTAGCATTCATAATTATTAAATAAAAGCAGTTCATTAATCTGATTTAAGTTATAAAAATCATTCAAATGTGCTGAACAAAAAAAATTATTTTAAATTTTGAATGTTGAAACCTGTTTTAATGAATGTATCATGCATATGATTTTAATATATTGTCACAGTGTTTACTGCTTTTAATCTCAGCTTTAGCTTTATGTACCCTGTACAGTTTATTGTTGATAGGAAAAGTAGAAAAAGCAAAAAGTATAGAGAAAGGTAACAGAATGCATTTCATGATTTTGTTTACTCTCTGTTTTATTTTGCCAAATAGCATATGAATCTATTGGTCTGTGTCACAAGGTTTTTTTTTTTGTGTTTATTTCTCCCTTCTTTGGCCCCCTCTGTATGATATTTTTGGAATCTTAGGATTCTCTGCTTATTAAGCTTTCTTTAGTTTATTATACTTGTATTTGCTGGCAAAGGTTTGATATTTAGAGTATGAACATGTGTGAATGTGTTTGTGTTGTATGAGAGAGAGGTGATCAAAATTGTTTTAATATTCTTATACATGTATGCATATTTCATTAATTTTTATTTTTTTGAAAGATAAAGTGGATATTTTCTTTGTATCTTTAATTAAAAAATATTTTTAGAGGAGACTGTCCTTCTATTTTATTTTAAACACTAATTAGGTAAAAAAGGTAATAACATGCTTTATACAAACTTAAGAATTTTGATACATATTTAATGTAATTCAGATGAAGAGTCCCTTGGAGAGAGACTGGAATCTGCCATCCTTGTTAAAGACCAACTCAGAAAAGTTTTTAGTGAGTATTATTATACCTTTACTGATTTTTCCCTACATAGAATTAGATCATTAAATGTGAATACTGTATGTGTACATAAATTAACCCATTCAAAATTTAGCCCAATCACAGGGTATGGAGTGGTTGGCGTAGTCATGAATTAGCGCTACACATGAAAGCGCTAAAAATAAAATTAAAAAAAAAACATTATCTATGAGTTTAAGTAAAATTTTAATAGCTTACTCTGAATAATTTTTAAACATTGTATTAGATTATTGCTGTCCAATTAGCGCGTCACTTGGCTGAAAATAGCCCTAAGGTTTTTATTGTGCGGTTGTAGTTTGGTTGTTGAACATTTAATTACCGTTTACTAGTAATTAAAATCAATTAACTTAAGATTTTCTGTATTGTGTAATTAAAACCGTACGTACTGTATGTACATTGTCGAAGTTCACATATAGAGTATGCGGGTCGACACGGACTGAATGGTCCAAGTGACAAGTGCCAATAACCCATTTTATATTAAGATTGATGCTCAAAAGTGAATTTGAAAAATAAAATCACATTAAACATGGATATATATTTACATATTAAATAGATGACTAAATCGGGCTCGGTGTTCGAGGCAGAATAAAATGGCAGATCGAAGCAAGTAGATCTAATTGAAAAACATCATGTCATATTTATTTATTAACGGTAATCATGAATTAGCGCATCGCTGTCTGCGCCAAAGCCGCTAAAATATGAAGCCCGCTTTTTTAAGTACACATACAGAAATTCCCTAGAAATCACTGTGAGTGGACTAAATGCCGTTTTTGCAGTGCATTACTCAATTGAGCTAATCCCTGCTTCAAAAATTGTATTGGTATCATTGTGAATAGACTAATCCCTGTTTTGCCATGTGTTAGTCAAGTACCAGTAACCTAATCCCTGCTTCAAAATTTGTATCAGTTTCATAAAACGGTTATAATAGTATATCAATGAGGGAGTCAGCAAGATTCTATTCCCCTCAACCAGGACTATTCCCCTCAGCTTTTTTGCCTCAGGAAATAGTCCTGGCCTTAAGGAACTGGAATCTTGCTAACTCCTTCAGTGATATACATGTGTACTTTAACTTTTGTTTAAAACTTGCAATTGCACTCTCTTAATAGACTTTCGTTTTTTAAAAATTTTTTAAGAGGAACCCACTTGAGTATGTGAGAAGTAGAAGCAAGCAAAGTTCTTGTAATACATTCAGTTATATTAATATGTTAGTGCTGTCATAATTCAGGATTGATCTTTATATGTAAGTGTGACCTTTGTATGTTCGGTGTTTTACAGCCAATCATGAGTGCGGACCAAACTGTCTCACAGAGGATGATCCACAGAAGTACAAGGGAACTAACCCTCTCCTGATTCCCCTGCTGTGTGGCTGGGAAAGGTCAGGCTTTTATTAGCTCCCCTGAAGTTTATTGTAGGGGAGTTGTTGTATGCCAAGAGCATCAGCCCCTGCTTTTCTCTTAATAATTAGGGATGTCAAAATATTTATTTTCTGTAGTCAAATATTCGATTGCATTATTCGAACGATAGTCGAATATATTCGAAACTTTTTTTGGAAACTAAAATTTTATTTCAAACTTCACTGGTACATGACATATTTAACCCGAAGTCCCCTTTTCTTAAATTTATTAAAAAGTAACATCAACTGTTACACACAGATGTTTACATGGACCTAAAATGTATGATTTCCCAGTCAATCATGTTCATAAATCGATCTGTAAAGTCGTTTTTAGGAAGCGTAAAAATGACAGTACGATTTATTTTTTAAAGCTTATTAAAATGGGGGGGGGGGGGGGGGGGACACACACACGATAAATCTGTGATAATGTTGTATTGTTAGATATTTGAATATACTTTTTGTACCAACTATCAAAATGTCTTTGAAATATATAAAAGAATATTAATTTTATAATAATAATCTTAGTGTCAAAACATGTCACGGCTATAATGGGTACATGGTATGAGATCAAGTCCAATTAATAATTTTACAAAGAAAGTGCAGTATAACAAGATAATTTTATTACAAAAACAACACATTAATTGACAAATAATACTCGCGAAGGGGAAGCATTTCTAATTACTGTACTTTCTACATATAAAACCAGTAGTTTTTATTGAGGAAAATTATCTTATTAACTGTGTCTGAGGAAAGACGGCCGGTTTCTCAAATTTAGGATGAGAATTCCATCTCTTTATCACTCTTTATTGAAATATATATTCGAATGTCGTTTCATTATTCGATCGTCGGTCCATTTGACTGATGGTCGAATAGTCGACTATTCGTTGACATCCCTATTAATAATGAAATGTTGTATGTCACATTATATTGCAGTTAAAGTGTCTATGGCTTAATGAAATATCCATTACAATTCTTGGTCATCTCTAAATATTTATAGACATGTATGTAAAATAAAGCCTGCCTACAAGAGAATTGTGGTGTACAGAGCCCCTTGTGCCAGGAGAATTCGCAATATGAATGAAGTTGAGCAGTTCTTGGCAGTAACTGATAGCAATCTAACTATTGATCTCTTCTGTTTTGACCCACAACTCCACGTCCATAAAGAGTTTGTACCAGTCAAGGTAAAGACTTTTCAAAAACGTATTGTTTCATTAAATTGAAATAAAATGGAATATAGTAAAATAACAATGCATGCATGCATGTCAGTGTGGGTTGTTATTTATTGGGTCTGAGAGAATGTTGTGCACTAAGGACATACATATGTTAATCACCTATTTATTTTAATGTAGAATTTACTTTTTATGCTGCAGTACTTAAGTAAAAAACTTACATGTAGATTTTATAAAAAATAAACAAAGTCAAAAATGTCATGAATGTACATTTATATCATACAGCACAGCTTTTGAAGTTGACTATATTACCTTTAAAAGAGAGGGCGAACTCTTATGATTTAGAGGATGAATTAGTACTCTTGATTATTTGCTTCATTACAGACATTCTGTGACATTAAGGACTTGTCATACGGTAAGGAGAATGTTCCTATTTCCTGTGTGAATGCTATAGACAGATTGTACCCTGACTATGTAGAGTATTCCAATGTCCGTATCCCAATGAAAGGAGTTAAGCTTAATTTGGACCCAGAATTTTTAGTAGGCTGTGACTGCACGGACAACTGTAGGGTAGGTCTTTTGTTTCTCATCTTTCTTATGGTGAGTTATTATATACTGGGTTACATGTATATATAGTAAAAACTTCATTTTTAGCTGACCTGAGTAAAAAGCTCAAGTGAGCTTTTCTGATTAAAATTTTGTCCATGGTCTTGTTGCCATGAACATTTTTATCTTCTTCTCAAGAGCCAGTAGGTCAATTTAATCAAAACATGGTACAAAGTATCCTTGGGTAAAAGGGATTCAAGTTTATTAAAATGAAGGACCTTTGCAAGGGGAGAAAATCAAGAAAAGGTAAAAATAGGATAGGGTCATTTATAAATCTCCTCAAGAATCGCTAGGCCAGACAAGATGAAATTTTAGTGACATTTTTCTAACATCATGTAGATTCAAATTTGCTCAAATCATCGCCCCCAGAGGTAGGGTGTGGTCATGATTAGGAATCGCCCTCAGAGGTAGGGTGTGGTGATGATTAGGAATCATAGTTTAACATAGGAATATGTAGGAAAAAATCTTTGAAAATTCTCCTCTCAAGAAAAGCAAGGTTATGATACATGTAGGTCATGTTAATATCCAACGTCTTCAGGTAGTGCAGATATAAGTTTGCTTGAGTCTTGAACCCCAGTAGTGGGACCAGCATTAGGAATCAAAGTTTAACATGAAAATATAAAGGAAAATATCTTTGAAAATCCTCTTCTTTTAAAAATAGTAGGACCATTATTAGTCATATGATATTAATATGCAAGCATCCTTAGGTAGTGTAGATTTTATGTTTGTTCAAGTCTTGACCCAAAGGTGTAAGGTGGGACCACAATCAGGGATCAGAATCTTAAATGGAAATATGTGGGAAATTCATCATTTTTTTTCTTCAAGAGTGGCAGGAACCCATTTAGTTCCATTGATTGCAATCCCTCCTAAATTGTGTGGATTCAATTTTTTTTTCAAATTATGAACCAAGCAGAAAGGGCGAGGCAAAAATCAAGCATAAAATTTAACATAATGCATGTATATAGGAAAGAAAATCTCTTAAAAATTGTCTTCAGAACAGCAAGGCAATGTTAGTCATAGTTGTTTTGAAGCATTCCCCTTCTGTTTGTATTCAAATAAAATTTTGTTATGATCCCTTGGGCTAGGATGGGGTCACAATATGGAGTTATTTTTATTTGAAATAAATTGGGGAAATTTTAATATCTTCTGAAGAGCAGCAGGGCTAAATTGACGCAGGTGAACATTTTGGCCCAAGGGCCTCTTGTTTAGCATGATAATTTTTTTAATCTATGAATGATGATGTGGTGATATCTCTTTAAAATTCAGATACATGTTGTACAGGTATTTAAAAACTGAATTTAGATTGTGTGAAATGTTTCTCATTTTCCATTGGTATTTCCTTCAGGACAAGTCTAAGTGTGCTTGTCAGCAAATGACTGTGGAATCCACAACAGTAGCAGGGGGTAAAATTAATCCAGAGGCTGGCTATGAAAATAGGAGGCTCCAAGAACCTATAGTGACAGGGTGAGTATATTTCACTGTACATGACCATAATGAAATTTCACTTAAAAGTGAAGCAATATAAGTGTATTTCAAATTCTGTTCCTTTGCCATAATGATTTCAGAATTTATGAGTGTAATTCCAAGTGTAAATGTGACTGCCGCTGTATCAATCGTGTGGCACAGAATCCACTCACCGTCAGACTGCAGGTGTTCAAGACAGAGAAAAGGTAAATCTCACAGGCATTGAAGAAACAAGTCATTGTGGATAGACACAGAGACAGGACAAGTCATAGTGGATAGATCACATATAAGACAGAGAAAAGGTCAATCTCACATAAGACATTGAAGAAGCAAGGCATAGTGGATAGATCACATAAGACAGAGAAAAGGTCAATCTCACATAAGACATTGAAGAAGCAAGGCATAGTGAATAGATCACATAAGACAGAGAAAAGGTCAATCTCACATAAGACGTGAAGAAAAAAGTCATAGTGGATAGATCATGTAAGACAGAGAAAAGGTCAATCTCACATAAGACATTGAAGAAACAAGGCATAGTGGATAGATTACATAAGACAGAGAAAAGGTCAATCTCACATAGGACATTGAAGAAAAAAGTTATAGTGGATAGATCATATAAGACAGAGAAAAGGTCAATCTCACGTAAGACATTGAAGAAACAAGGCATAGTGGATAGATCACATAAGACAGAGAAAAGGTAAATCTCACATAATACATGAAGAAACAAGTCTTAGTGGATAGATCACGTACATGTAAGACTGAAAAGAAGTAAGTATTAGTGGATAGATCACATAAGAAAGGGAAGAGATAAGTCACAGTAAGATAGGGGGATATAAGGTTTAATAGTGGATATGTCACACAGGATGGAGAAGAAGCATAAATTTTTAGTGGATAAATCGCATACATTAAAACAGAGAAGAGATAAGTCATAATGAATATATCACATAAATGTATGACAGAGAAGAGGTTAGTCTTCTTAGGTAGGTTACAAAAGGCTAAAAAAAATAATAATGACTGTTTCCGTACAAAACCTCGCTAAAACTGAATTTGAAACAGTTCTTTTCTTAAGTGAGATTCAATTTAGAGTAGGCTGAATTACCGTTAACAGGGGTGTAAACCATATTAACAATAAATGAAATACATTTTAATTTTATTGTTTGATTAATGTCATTGTCTTCATTTACAGAGGCTGGGGCTTGAGGTGTTTAGATGACATTCCAGCTGGAGGATTTATCTGTATCTACGCTGGGCAACTACTGACAGAGCAAGGGGCTAATACAGTTAGTTCAGTCTTTGACTTATTATAGATTGACTTAAGTAATCACATCATGTACACCGGAACGCTTCCACTGTGTCCATGTCTGTGGACTTATGTTATAGAGGTAGGGTTGGAAGATGAAGAGTATGTATCCACTGTATGCTCATGTTGTTTTCTTTGTTGTGTACACAGGATGGTCAGCAGTATGGGGATGAGTATCTGGCTGAGCTGGACTATATGGAGGTAGTGGAGGGGTGTAAGGAGGGGTATGAGAGTAATGTAGACCAGGACGAGGGACTGGGGGACAATAGTGAGGAGGAGGAAGAGGAGGAGGAGGAGGAAGAAGAAGAGGAAGAGAGTGAGGAAGAACACAATGAGAGTGATTCAGACAGGTGAGAACACAATAAGAGTGATCCAGAAAGGTGAGAACACACTTAGAGTGATTCAGAAAGGTGAGAAAATATACAGGTAAACTTCGATATCTCGAACACCGATATGCCGAATACCACAGATATCTCGAAGTGAATCAACGGTCCCGGCCGTTTTTATTATATTTATGATTTAATAAAACCACGGTATCTTGAACACGGAAATCTCGAATACCTCGTTTATCTCGAAGTAGATTTACGGTCCCATGCGTTATCTCGAAGTCCAACAAATTTCTTGCTCCGCTGAATTCACACCTTAGTACACAATAATCCCATTTTGCTAATTTTACGGTCTGTTGAACGTTTCCGTTAGGTCTAGCACAGGCTTCATGGGACCATTGCTGATAATCACACCTTATTAGCCCCAAGCTGTTGTTTTTGTTAGTTAAATTTAATTACGCAGGCCAGGTGATTTGTTAATAAAATGCACACTCAGAGATATGATGACACGATAATGAAACAGCGGCTTGGGGACGATTACTGTAATAGGAATTAAAATTTATCGAAAATACACGCTTATACACATTATTACATATCAAAGTAAACACTGAACACATCAAAGTGATATTGAACTCAAGAAATTTAAACAATTAAAGACATTATTTTGAGTTTAAAAGTCTTTACCAAAAATCTAAATCTTCAGTACACATGATCTCTGATAAGGCAATCTAACGAAGGACCTGGTAGCCAACCTGGGGGATAGTTAGATTATCTGAATGTGGTGTAAAAAAGAAAACTTAAAGTTCATACAATCGAAACAAAGTTTGCTTTTATTTATGCATATTGGCAATTTCAACAAATTATTGTTGAACGATAATTCCTGTTTCCGTCTTAATCCTTACTACAGTGATTGGTTTATCAATTACAAAGCGTAACACATATCCGGGTTTCAGAAATCCTGAAACCAGCATGATTATCGCTATTGAAAGCGATCGAAATTTGTAAAAATTAAATGTAAGTGTTGCAGTATTGAATAAAATAATATATGCATTATAAGTGTATATGTAAATGTATTTTTAAAAAGATATCACTAAGTACGAACTGAAACATTTACCGCTTAAATTATGCACATGGTGGAGGGGTTGGGGTGGGGTAATTTCCTGGTAATAGAACATGTAACATAACAATAATTGGTACCAAATTCATCAACTTCGATATCTCGAACACTCGGATATCTCGAAGTTTTTCCTAAGCCCCGCCAAGTTCGAGATATTGAAGTTTACCTGTAGAGAGTGATTCAGACAGGTGAGAAAACAATGAGAGTGATTCAGAGAGGTGAGAACACAATGAGAGTGGTTCAAACAGGTGAGAACATACATAGAGTGATTCAGAAAGGTGAGAACATATAGAGAGTGATTCAGACAGGTGAGAACACACAGAGAGTGATTCAGACAGGTGAGAACACAATGAGAGTGATTCAGACAGGTAAGAACACATAGTGAGTGATTCAGACAGGTGAGAACACATAGGGATTCAGACAGGTGAGAACACATAGAGAGTGATTCAGACAGGTGAGAACACATAGAGAGTGATTCAGACAGGTGAGAACACATAGAGAGTGATTCAGACAGGTGAGGACACACAGAGAGTGGTTTAGACAGGTGAGAACACAATGAGAGTGATTCAGACAGGTGAGAACACACAGAGAGTGATTCAGACAGGTGAGATCTCATAGAGAGTGATTCAGACAGGTGAGAACACATCAAGAATGATTCAGACAGGTGAGAACAGATAGATAGAGAGATAAAAAGTTTATATCATATAAATGTCTAGAATACAATGCATCAAAAATTCATTTGTTCTGATTATGAGAATAAAATAATGCTTTTAATCCAGATAGTTATTACATGCACAGTGTGTATATATTAACTTTTTTTTCACAGTGATTATGAGGGTAAAATTAGAAGTTCTTCTGATTCACAGGATAACCCCCATCACACAAGGTATGTAGTTATTAGGCAAAAAAAAAATAATGATTAGTTTTTCAGGCACCGCCGCATCAGGTCAAAAACTGCCGCATTGATGAATTTTAATGACATATTGAAAAGGGAAATAACTCAATTTTCTATTTTTCCAAGGTGAAAAAGAAAATCAAGTTATTCCCCTTTTCATAAATGCTTATAGATGGACGTTTTTATTAGGTAAACAGTATATTTCTTGTAAATATGTTATTATGTTCCCCAAACGAAGTTTGGGAACATATTGTTTTTACTCTGTTTCTTATTATTAAGGTCTTCGTCTTCACGGAAGACCTTATAGTGATTCTACTGTTTCTTATTATTATTATTCTTTTTTTTGACCAAATTTTGTGCACGCGATATCTCGAGAACTGTTCAGTAGTTTTCAATGAAACTTTCACAAAAAATGAGTTATCATATGATCTTTGTTCATCACAAGTAAAATTTGGAAAATTCTCTTCCGGTTCCAAGATATGGGCAAATTCCTGATTTTTAAATGGAATTTTGTCCGCGGCGTATCTAAAGAACAACTAAAGGTATGAACTGGAGACTTATTAGAGATTATAGAACATGTCTCTTAGATTACCAGAATCACCCTTTCCTGCGTCGTCACTACTTCCGGTCGCTACAGGAAGCGAATTAAAAAAGTCGAAATTTTCAACTTTTTTGTTTTTCAATATATTTTGATGATATTTGTTGGGTTAATAGAGACTCTTTTCAGAATGCTTAATATATAGATAGTTTGAAAATTGATAATAAATATTAGAATTATTTTTAATAATTTTTTGACAAATATTGAGCATGCGATATCTCGAGAACTATTCAGTAGTTTTCAATGAAACTTTCACAAAAAACGAGTTATCATATGAACTTTGTTCATCACAAGTAAAATTGTGGGCAAATTCCTGATTTTTAAATGGAAGTTTGTCTGCAGCGTATCTAAAGAACGACTAAAGGTATGAACTGGAGACTTATTAGAGATTATAGAAAATGTCTCTTAGATTACCAGAATCACCCGTCGTCACTACTTCCGGTCGCTACAGGAAGCGAATTAAAAAAGTCGAATTTTTCAACTTTTTTGTTTTTCAATATATTTCGATGATATTTGTTGGGTTAATAGAGACTTTTTCAGAATGCATGATATATAATTAGTTTGAAAATGGATAATAAATATTAGAATTATTTTTAATATTTTTTAGACAAATATTGAGCACGCGATATCTTGCGAACTATTCAGTGGTTTTTCGTCAAATGTTCAGGGAAAATGCGTTTTAAAAAGCCATTATTCAATTTGAAAGAATTTTGGAAAAATTCACTTCCGGTTCCATGTTACGGGCAATTTCCTGATTTTTAAAGAGAATTTTTTCCGCTGCAGATCTAAAGAACGGCTAAAGATATGAACTAGAGACTTATTGGAGAGCATAGAACATGACATCTAGATTTGCGAAATCGCCTTTTTGTGCGTCGTCAATAGTTCCGGTCGCTACCGGAAGCGAATTAAAAAAAGTCGAATTTTTCAACTTTTTTGTCTCTCAATATTTTTTAATGATTTTACTAGGGATAATAGAGACTCTTATAAGAAATGGTCCCGCGAGCGTAATGCTTAGCGTGTTCAATTTTCACACGGGCGACCTGGACTCAATCCCCGAAAGTCTGGATTTTTTTTTTTTACCATTTTTCAGCTGAAATGTAATAACGTATCTTTGAAATGATACCTGGTATAATAATCTGTTCACTTACAATATATTTTTACATACAATTTACGTTTTATAGTATTTAATTTATGAAGGAGTTAAATGGAATGCACAACGTAATACAGATAGTGTTTTGAGTGAGGAATCAACTTCTCTAATAATGGAGAAGGGAAGGAAGACCTTCTTGTTGCCATGGCAACAAGTTTCTAGTTATTATTATTAAGGTCTTCCGACTTCCTTCGGAAGACCTTATTGTTTTCCGTCTGTTTTCTATTATTATTATTATTATTATTCTTTTTTTCATAGTTATGGCGATATCTCAGCTGTGAGTGAGCAGATTTCAGAGATTTTTTCGCGGAAGATGCATCATGTAAATATCTCCAGACGTGTTTTTCATTTTTTCAAAAATCACTTCCTTTCGCGATTTTTGGGGAAATTTGTATTTTTTAAATGGCATTTTGTCCAGAATTTTTCTTAACAACGGCTAAAGATATGAAATTGAAACTCAATGAATAAATAGAACATCAAATTCCAATATGGGGAACGACCTTTATTTTTCGTCGTCGGCACTTCCGGTCGCAAACGGAAGTGAATTCAAAAAATCCAATTTTTCAACTTTTTTGTTTTTCAATATTTTTCTTTAGGATTTACAGGGTTTATAGAGTGTTTTACAAGAATTCTAAATATGTATTCAATATTTTGATGCGTGCATTTATTGCAAAGATATGACTGATCCAAACTTTGTCCCACTGTCTGGGGTTCGAATCCTGCTGGAGGTAGTTAATTTTTTTTTCTTTGTTTTTCTCTTTTTTTCAGTTGCTAATGACTTCTCTCTCTTTAAAAACATGTATGGTAGTTTTTGCTGATTTTTAAAAGCTTTTTTGTCAGAGATTCTGTAGAAAACCTTTCGACATATACTGAATATCTTTGCATCTATGATATGTCCTTCTAAAACTATTTTAAGATTTCATTCTTGTCCCCAAAGCTTGACCCATTCAAAAGTTGTCACCCCTTTTGCAATAAAACCTTGTTATCGCTACTCCTCCGAAACCGTAAAACGTAGAGATTCCAAGCCTTCAGCAGTGTCTTCGACTCATTTAATACTCTCTTCATTCTATCATTGCAAAAGCATTCTTTGGTCCCTTGTATGAGTTACTGCCCCTGAAAGTTTATGCTGCTTACATTTAATGAACCTTTTTTAAAACGGTGTATCCTAGAGACATGGGACCAACTGCATCGGCATGTTTGACTTTGACCTTGAAATATAGGTCAAGGTCAAAGTCATTTAAAAACATAAGAAATTCCTTATATATGTGTGAAATATAGCAATTCACCAAATGACCTTGAACTTTGACCTTGACCTTTGGCCTTGACATTGGGTCAAATGAAAAAGTAAGGACATGCATCCAGCTCCAGTATCAGGTAAAAACATAGAAAGTAAAGATTTCCTTGTTTTGTTTTGTTTTGTTTTGGTTTTTTTTTTTTTTTGAAATGGCCCTGACCTTTGATCTTGACCTTTGATCTTGACCCAAAGGTCACAATCAGGCTTAAAGATGTGAAAGTAGTTACAATTCTTAGTTTAAAAGAGGCATAAAATAAATAATTCACCCCCCCCCCCTTCTTAAAAAAAATCACATCAAAAACAACGTAGAATATTTCTGTAAAATTCAAACCAGACCTCGGATCGACAACATATTTGGTACATTTGTAGTATAGACCTCAGAGAAACTTTCTTGAGAGTTTTACGATGAGTCTTATAAGTTTATAGAAGTCATGAAGTTTCACGGCAAAAACTACAAGTTCTGTTGTGTTTGAAATTAAAGTGCAGGTGAACGAAGAAATGATCTAAACCTTTTATCGGCTATTTCTTCAGATGTCGTTAGTAGCATTCGATTTTCCTGATATGATACGACATTTTAATACCAAGCATTCTCTCTTTCTTTTACATTTGGAATTTATTTGATTTTTATTTAGAATTAATCAGTTTCCAGAAATAGCGATTTTCGGTATATTAAAAACAATTCTCGCTTTCATTGTCGTGTTTCCCTTCTAAAAATGCATGTTGGGAGTTTAATTTGTGCTACACATATTTAATTTAACCCAAAGAAATGCTTATTTAAATGTTTCATATTTATTTCAGGATATTCAGTCAGAAATGTTAAAATCCGAAATCTTTTAAGCTTACAACAAAGCTATTTTCAAAAAATTCAGCGTGCTCACAATATCGATGAATCGGGCTACAGTCCATTAATACATTTTCATTAGGGAACAGTGTTAACGTTTTCTCACGCACACCCGTCCCTTGTTATTTTATATACTGCTTGCAAGTTCAGGAACTATTTCCTTTTACGGAACTTCTTTCTTCCCCTACCGATTCTAAAAATACGCTTGTATTTATTCTATAGTCTTAAACAATTAACTTGCTCAATTTTATCGGAATGTGTAGCGCAGTGTTAGAGCACCTGCCTTTCAAACCAAGGGTTTTGAGTTCGATCCCAGCTGGAGGAGGATTTTTTTTTTTTTTTTTTTTTTTTTGATTTTTTTGCTTTTTTTTTTTTGGCATTTTTCTTTTTCTCGGCCTAAGCGACACGAAAACACTTAAAAAGGTGGAAAGGCCTCTAATTGTTCTCTGAACAATTAGTTTACTTGTTATTATTAAGGTATTTCGATATATATGATAAGATATGAATATGAAACTTGCTGAGGTGATAGAGCATCAAATGTAGATATGTTGATCGACCATTATTTTCCATCGTTCGTACTTCCGGTCGCAAACGGAAGTGAATTAGAAAATGTTAAATTTGTAACTTTTTTGTTTTTCAATATTTTTCTCTGGGATTTACAGGGTTAATCGAGAGTCTTCTAAGAGTTCTAAGTATGTTTTTATCATTTTGATTGATGCATTTGTTGCAAAGATATGTAATACAAAGATAGATTACATGATCAGTACGTACTGGTCCCTGCTGACAAAGCAGGTAACAATATTGTCTTTGTTTGTAAGACTCATTATATTAAATGTATTTTAGAGGAACTTGGATTTAATTCTACAAGTGGTAATCCAACTTATACTCATAGTTCCCTTTTTAAGGAAGAACTTCTTCAAAATCATATGTCAGTTTTGAATATTTTTAATATTCCAAACAACCAAAATGAATTCGAATTACCATATTTATATTGGATTCCGAAACTTCATAAAAATCCTTACAAACAAAGATACATAGCGGGTTCCAGTATATGTTCAACCAAGCCTCTATCTTTACTCCTCACTAAGATATTAACAGTGGTGAAGGA